TTATTATTATTATTATTATTATTATTTTTTGGTTAATTAATTTTGAGTTGTCACAGGGTAACGATAAATCAGAACATTTATTTTGAGGGATTATATTTAGCTTCATCATCCATGGCAAGTGCAATGGGCAATCTAGTCCCCGCTATCACTTTTGTAATGGCATCCATTGTTGGGTAATTAAATAATAATTGTCAAACTTTAATTTGTTTAATTAATTAATAGAATATAACATAAATTTTTTATCTGATTTTGTAGGTTGGAGACAATAAATATTAAAAGCATTAGAAGCATTGCAAAAATTATAGGAACATTATTCTGTGTGAGTGGAGCCATTTGCATGGCAATTCTGAGAGGCCCCAAGCTTCTGAATTCAGAAATAATGCCACCACAGAAATCTTTATTTGCCTCTGGAAATAATGAGACCTGGTTGTTGGGTTGTCTCTTTCTCTTTGCAAGTGCTTGTTGCTGGTCACTTTGGCTGATTTTACAGGTATTTTGTTTTAATCGAAATTTCTCTTTCAAGATCAATGCTTCAAAATTTTATGGATAGATAATATTTGTATTATAATTTTTTGATTGCAGGTTCTAATTTCAGCCAGCTATCGTGACCACTTATCTTTGTCAGCTTGGATGTGTTTCTTGGCAACTCTTCAGTCAGTAATACTTACGTTATTCATTGAGCCAGATCCTGAAGCATGGAATTTTAATTCATTTCTTGAAATTGGTTGCTGTTTCTTCTCAGTAAGTATAAGTTCGGATAATTTTTTTACAGAATGGAACAAAAATATTATATTAACCCACCACGGACAGAAAAATAGTATAAGATAACCAACACCTGGATGACTAAGTGATTCAATAAGGATTTTTGGATGTATTACTCAAAAGATCCTGAGTTTGAGTCCCTGCTCAATTGCTAATAGGGGTGGACACTGAAACTCTTACTCAACCGATAGTTTTAGAGTTCCGATGGATTAGTTGAAGTGCACTTGGACACCTCTAACCATTAAAAAAAATATATATATATATATATAAGACAACAGAAATTTAATAGCGTATTTCTAGTGATAATATATGTAATCCGAGACGTAAAATTTCAATTACTGCATCAGAAAACACCATATTTCTTGTGATATTATATGCAATTGTTAAATTTGTCATTCAACACAATGCCTGTCGTAAATTTTTCTCAATGTGTGCAACAGGGAATTATAGGCTCAGGAGTTTCATTCATTGTTCAAGCTTGGTGCGTCTCAAAAAGGGGTCCCGTCTTCTCTGCAATGTTCAATCCTCTATGCACAGTTATTGTAACCATCTTGGCTGCTTTGTTACTAAACGAGGAGATTTACACTGGAAGGTAACATATATATTCAAAATAACCATGAAAATGAAAATTCTCTCGCGCAAACATCTTTCTTTATTTATTGTTTCATGGCAGTCTGATAGGTGCAGTTGGAGTAATTCTTGGATTATATATTGTGCTATGGGGCAAAGCCAGAGACAATAATGGAGAAGAAGATAAGAATGAAAAGTTACAGATTGAAGATTCAGAGAAAACAAGATACAGCAATGATTTAGGGGAGCCTCTTCTGTCAGATAAAACAAGAAATGTTAATGAAATTGATGTAGTACACTGCTAATTTTTGTCCTTAATTTTGTATTTTTCATTTTTGTTTTTATATAATCATTATAATTAATTTTTGTGGACAGAAGAGACCTACATACATGATTGGTCAACTCTTGTTACTAAATTTAGTTCATAATTTTAAATTATTGGAGCCAACATTAATCTTTATATAGAAATCTTAATCAATTATTTCATCTTTTTGTTCTGATTTGAGACTCAATTCTGTCGGGTATGCATGATATATAACATAACATTTATGTATAATGTCTTCATTATATTTTATATTCCTTTTCTTTTTAATATCAATATAAGAATGAGTAAATGGCTTTTTTCCACCCAAATAATGACTTACTGATACTTTTTCACCCACAGACTTTTAAAATACTACTTTATTACTCAAATTTATATTCCGTTTCTGATTTTGGTATCGTTGCAATCCCACTCCACAATCATCCTCTTCTTCTATCACCACTCATCAAAACCCCTCAAACCCTACTCCCGTTGATCTCGTCAATCGTCGGCAATCAAATGATTATGGTTTACATAGCCGTCCTCCTAAGTCAAATTCTGATCAATTCCAACCACTAAAATCTAACATTCCACCAAGCTAAAGGATTTGATATGGTAGTGAGAGGGTTGTCCCAGCTCAATTATTTATTTGAAGAAGGAAAAAAAATAAAATCAAAGCTGTATCAGACAAATAAAACTTGGGACCCTATATAATTACAATACAAGTCAGTATTGGGAATGAGAGATCTCACATAAATCTTGGAACGAGAAAAGATGTAATACTAGTTATCAGAGGAATTACAAGCAACGATGTGATCCTAGCTTTGTATTCGAACCCATCTAAAAGTTATTTTGATAGATTAATTTAATTATCATTTTATAATTAAAGAGAGATTGTCAAATCAAATTACATGCATTAATGTATCAATTTACATTCAAATTGAAATGAATCTTGGAATCAGAGTAACAATCATACATAAGCTTAAGTTTTATGGGCTTAAGATGAAGTTATCCCACAACAATCATAAGCTTAAGTTTAAGGGGTTTCAAGGAAAATTATCCCACAACAACACGTCGTGGCCTTTCAGATAAATCATAGGAAAAGATTTCTAACTGGAAATCGAACCTGGAATTGTTGATTGAAACCATGCACAACCTTTTTGGTTTGCCTTACTGTTGGACTATCCATCAGTGGGTCATATTTACTTTGATTGATGCTAAAAACATTTTTTCTTAACTGATTAAATTATTGATTACAATGTTTCGAGTTGATAAAAATTATAGTGATCAAACTGCAATTTAATTTGACAAGAAAAAAAAAAATTACTTCACTTAAATTACATGGAAAGAGGGAGAAGGATTTAAATCGAGTAACATAAATCGAATGATAGTATTCAAGTCAAAATCAAGCACCAATACAACAATTCGTGAAGACCCTTTTCTTTAAAAGTCCAAAAAGGGATCCTCTCTTATCTGAAGTTAATCGTCCAATCAACATGTTGAAAGTTTTTGTGACGTGTAGATTTAAACTTTAGTTGTGATTAGTACTTATCTTTTAAATTAAGCAGAGGATGTTCATGAATCTTGTAATGTGCCCACATACAAGTTTATAAAAATAATAACAAAAAACATATAATAAATGTCGTAAGACACACATGGTTCACCCAATTGTACTAGGCAGTATAGAGAATGTTTTACTATGAGTCAAAAGGAGTACAACTTTGCAAACACACAACTCATGATTACAAAGGCCCTATCTCTCAAACAATGGACGTTATCCTATAGTCTTGCTTCTGTGGTCTCTTAGTTAAGAATGAATTTCTTGTAGGGGTGAGCAGTTTCGGATACCTTGCATTTTTTGAAGGAATCGAAATCAGAATCGATGGGTTTTGATTTCTAGAACCCTGGAACCAGAACATGAAACATAAGTTCCAGTTCTGGTTTCGGTTCCAGTTCTGGGTACTCGAGTAAATTATTACCCCTCTACTTTTAAAAAATGACATATACACCCCCAATAGTTTACAAAAATTATAATTTAGTTTCAGTTCCTACTCAAGTAGCTAGACCTTAGTTTTGATTCTGATTTCGGTTCTGGTTCCAACACTGCAGGAACTTGAACTGGACCTGGGAATTCTTAGTTCCAATTTTCCAAAATTGAAACTGAACCCTAATGAGACCAGTTCCGGTTCAACCCTTTACCCATGCTCACCCCTAGTTTCTTGTGCCACAATTCTCGCTCACTTGAAACACACTCGTAAGACTATTTCACTCTAGGGCTAAAAATTACACTTATATAAATGGCTAGGGTATTCCAGTCTTGTCCCTAATGGTATGACTTCAGTTGGGGTACGAAATCATAAAAACAGAGGTAACAACTTCACTTACAGAGTTACATTCGCTATGGCGAACTTGGACTTGCTACTACGAATCTGACCTCATTACAATGAACTACTGAAATTTGTCAGTAAAAAATTTTTGTTATGGCGAATATGTAGCAAATTGGATTCGCTATTACAAATTAGAATTCACTATAACGAATCTGCACCCATACCAAATTCCTCTAATTCCTTCATACTCTGCAGCAGCCACACACTTCCAATTTGACGACAACTCTTAATGGCCATAAAATGGCATATGAATGAGCGACACATCACAGTTTCAACCCAGCACTTCAATTATTATAAAAGTTCAGATCAGAACACAATCCTGCTTCGCCCAAATAATTAACTATAAAAACAATTGTATTATTATATGATCAAAGCCAGCCACAAGGAGAATAGCTCCAAGCTTCCAACTCAAAGCTCTGTGAGAGCCAATCAAATTTACGTCGACAACACGTTCAGGGCCCCATCCGCTTTGCATAAAATATTATCCTGACAGCGCCAAACTCTATTTTTAAGCAGCCTGATGATGTTGAAACTAGCTAATAAATAAACAGTTCGATCCTTTCACTGTAATCTCGCCGCATCACCAACATTTGTTTATTTTATTCTTTCAACAAAGGCTGCCATATCTCTAAATGATTGTTGTTTTTATTTCATTCATTCTATTCATTTTATGCATGTACTTGGTGAATATTTTGTTCTTCCTGACAGCTCAAAATCTTATCTACAACACATTTGTCTCCTCTCTCATGCATGTCATGAATCTCCATAATTATATATATTTAGGTTATCTTAATTGTGTCTAAGCAAAAAGACTCTTGTTGATAAGAGTTTCACTAATAAAATAATCTATTTTTCAACATTATTCTTACAAGAGTCTTACATCAAACAACAGTAGTGATTAAACTCGATTTTTTTTTTTTTTAACATTTACCGTTTGAATACATGTTAAGATAACCCTATATTAAGCCCTATGGTTCTAGAACTTTCGTGTCAGGTGATTGCATTCTTCGAAGTCATTTTTCGAGAAAAAAAATGGGGGAATTGAATGGTTACAAGCCGGCAATGGCAATGGTTGCCTTGCAATTTCTTTATGCAGGAGTTGCTCTCTTCACTAGAGCTGCTTTTGTGCAAGGAATGAGCACCAGAGTCTTTGTTGTTTATAGACAAGGCATTGCAACTTTGGTCATGGCCCCTCTAGCTTATCTCTCCACAAGGTAAATAACTTAATATTCATCTCTTTATTTCTTTCTAGCTCTCTTACTTTAGTTGCTTTTGTTAATTGGAAGGAGATCAAATTCTTGTAGATCATCTTTAGGATTGAAGGGCTTTGGTTGGATTCTTTTAGCCTCTCTTATTGGGTAATTTTTTTTTTTTTTTTTTTGGAATCTATTGAATGATAATATAATGTTATTTCACTCAAACTTTGTGTTGTGAATTTCATTGGCAGTGTAACTGCTAATCAGAATGCTTATTTTGAGGGGCTATATTTATCTTCTTCATCACTAGCAAGTTCAATGACAAATCTGATCCCTGCAGTCACTTTTGTAATGGCATTCATTGCTGGGTAAATAAATATTCAGAACTCAAAAGTATATATATATCAGTTCAAAAAAATAAAAAAAAACTGAAAGAAATTGTTTGTTTCTAAAATAGTTTGATTGATTTATTAGATGGGAGAAAGTTAATATTCGGAGCTTGAGAAGTATTGCCAAGATACTAGGGACTGCCTTCTGTGTCAGTGGAGCTGTTTCCATGGCATTGCTCAAAGGTCCAAAGCTATTGAATGCAGAATTTTTACCATCAAAATCAGTATTATTCATTCCAGGAATTGATAATTGGTTACTGGGTTTCTTACTTCTCCTTGGCAGCAGCTTTTTCTGGTCCTTTTGGATGATTCTGCAGGTATTTTCTCTCAAATTCTCGGCATAATTCACATCGTACACGAGAAGCAGTCAAATAATAAGTTTTTGGGTCAAGTGGTTACTTAACTCATCGAGTTATATTCGATTACTGAGATTTTCTTTTCCAATCTATCAATAGGTTCCGATTTCGGCAAGCTGTCCAGACCACACATATTCATCCGCCTGGATGTGTTTCCTGGCAACAATAGAATCCGCAACTGTTGCATTGCTTGTAGAGGAAAGTCCTGAAGTTTGGACTTTACACTCATTTCTTGAATTGGGTTGTTGTTTATACAGTGTAAGCCTTCAATTTTCTCCATGGAGATTTGCAGATCACATTTATTCTATTCTCAAAATTACACTAAACTTGAAATAATTTTCAACAGGGAATTGGCTTGGCAGTCTCTTTCTTTGTTCAAGCTTGGTGCATTTCTCAAAGAGGTCCACTCTTCTGTGCAATGTTCAATCCTTTATGCACAGTGATTGTCACCCTTTTTGCTGCTTTATTTCTGCAAGAAGACATGTATATTGGAAGGTAATCTACACTCAAATCCATTACTTGTCTTCATGTTTTCTTTCTTAGATAATAAGATACTGATGTTGCAACGATTCGTCGGTGTTTTTCGCTTCAGCTTGCTGGGGGCTTGTGGTGTGATACTTGGTTTATATATTGTGTTATGGGGCAAAGCTAAAGACTTCGAAGAGATCAGAAAAGAAGAACATTCAGAAAAGAAAAGCAGTTGTAAAATTGATTTGGAAGAATCACTTTTATCTGAAAAATCACCAACTGTTAATTCAAATGTTTAATTTTTGAGCAAAAAAAAAGTAGATTCAAATGTTTACTATCTCATTTGATAGTTTTATCTTCAATATTTTCTACATATGTGTTACCGTTTGAGCAATAGATGAATATGAACCCAAAATTCCAAAAATTATTGCCATTAACATTATAACAGCAATGCCTGCAAGCTCAAATCCCCACTTCCTGTAAACTTGAAACATCTTCAAGTAACAAAGACATGGAAGCAAGAAGGAAACAACCATTATGAGTAATGCTCCACTGAGAGATGCCACAGACTGAAAAGATGGAAAAACTGCGGCACAAACCACAGTGCTCACCAGCAAAGCCACTCTGATGATAATTCCTGTTGGTTTACTGTCTTGATAATTGGCTGGCAATCCATTTTCAATAGCAGTGGCAATTGACATTACTGTTAATGCAAATTTGGCAATAGGGATAGCTATAACGGTGTATATTGCAACCTTTGAACTGACCTTTTCTGTAGGAAGATTTAATGTTACTTGGGATTGAACTTTCTGTCCATATATAAGGTATCCCAAAATTGCCAATGTAAGATAGGTGATGGTACAGATTATGAAGCTTTTAGCAGTAAGACCTGTGGCAGCAAAAACAGAGAAAACAGATTAGTAATCCTTCAATATTGTGACCGAATATGCTATAACAACCACAAATGGATAGAATTTGGCAAGTGGTTATTAACCCATATGCCAAGCCATTCATTAGGAATGTGGGACTATTAGGATCGTCAAAGTCTACCCCCTTGGAACCCACGTCCGCCCTTGGAGCCGATGTCCCAAGCAGCTCGATATACCCAGCCAGCAGTGGGTAGAACCTCCAGGTATTAACCCATATGCTGAGCCATCCCTTAGCAATGTAGGACTATTAGGATCGTTACAATCTACCCCGTTGGGACCAACATCCAGGCCCACTTAATAATAAAACCTCCCAAATGGTTATTAATAGAACCCCCCTAGTGGTTATAAACCCACATGTCAAACCATTCCTTAGCAATGTAGGGCTANGGCCAATTGATCCTCTGATCGAATCTTGGGTAGTTCAATAATCTTTTCATCCAGTTTTTCTTTGATGAAAAATCTATCTACTTCAACATGCTTCGTACGATCATGTTGAACTGGATTGTGAGCAATGTCATATGCTGCTTTATTATCACAATATAACTGGATTGGTTGATTAGGTTGATAACCCAAATCTTGTAGTAGAAATCTTAGCCACAAAGCTTCACAAATCCCAAGTGCCATTCCCCTAAATTCTACTTCAGCGCTTGAACGTGCCACAACATTTTGTTTCTTGCTTCTCCACGTAACTAGATTACCTCCTACAAAAGTGAAATAACCAGAAGTAGATAGTCTGTCATCCACTGCTCCAACCCAATCAGCATCAGTATATGCATGCACATTTTGGTAGTCCTTATTTTTAGAAAATAAGATTCCCTTTCCAGGAGCATGTTTTAAATATCTCAGGATACGCATAACTGTATTCATATGCTGCTCTCCAGGATTATGCATGAACTGACTGACTATACTTAATGCATAAGCAAGATCTGGCCTAGTGTGAGACAAATACATCAATCTTCCCACAAGTCTCTGGTATCTCCCTTTGTCAACTGGTACTTGATCAGTCTCGACTCCTAATTTCAAGCCTTCTTCGATTGGTGTATCAGCTAGTTGACATGCTGACATACCAGTTTCTTGCAGTACATCCAAGGCATACTTTCTTTGTGATAGAAAGATACCTCTGTTAGATCGCGACACTTCAATTCCGAGAAAATATTTAAAAGAACCTAAGTCCTTCATCTCGAATTCTTCTGATAAGTACTTTTGCAATGCCTTCCTTTCTTCTGGATCATTTCCTGTAACCACCATATCATCCACATATACAATAAGTGCAGTGGTTTTTCCTTGTTGTTTTTTAAGGAATAGTGTGTGATCTGAATTGCTCTGATGGTAGCCAAAAAACTTCATAGCTTTGGTGAATCTCCCAAACCATGCCCTCGGAGATTGTTTTAACCCATACAATGACTTCTTTAACTTACATACCTTTTAGCTACGCTTCACTGGTAAAATACACCCTGGTGGAGGATCCATATAAATTTCTTCAGACAATTCTCCATGTAGAAAGGCATTCTTCACATCGAACTGTTGTAATGGCCAATCCAGGTTTGCAGCTAAAGATAATAAGACACGTGCCGTGTTGATTTTAGCTACGGGTGCAAATGTCTCTGTATAGTCAATCCCGTGGGTTTGGGTATACCCTTTTGCTACTAGTCTTGCTTTGAATCTCTCAATTGTACCATCAGCCTTATACTTCACAGTGTAAACCCATCGACATCCAATAGTCTTTTTTTCGGGTGGACGATCAACAAGTTCCCAAGTCTCATTCTTCTGTAACGATTTCATTTCCTCATTCATAGCAACTTTCCATTTTGGATCAGATAAGGCTTCCTGCACACTGTTAGGAATAGATACAATAGATAATTGATTCACAAATGACATATTCGATTCTGATAGACGATGGTTAGACACATAATGACTCATGGGGTATTTGACTTTACTAGATAGCTCTGGTTCGTATGTTGGTTTGGGAATCCCTCTAGTACTACGTGGTGGTAACTCTTTCCTAATTGGTTCAGACTCTAAATCAAGAACATTCTCAACAAATGATGGTTGTGACATACCAAGAATAAGAGACTCGGACTGAGAAGCTTCTACGGCCAGGTTTGATACCACCTCCACATTACCATCATCCACTTCATCTTCTTGTCGAACAATAGGTCTAGTTTGTGGCTCATGGTCTACCACATCTTGAACGTCATCTTGAACTACATAGTCAAGAGTCTGAATTTCTTCTTGACAATACTCCCCCTGAAGTTCAGACTCAGAAGGAAAATACCTCAACTCTTCATGGAAAACAACATCCATCGTTACAAACGTCTGTTGAGTTGGAGGATGATAACATCGATACCCCTTTTGATGAACACCATACCAACATAAACACATTTCAATGCACGAGGGGACAACTTGTTGTGTTGATGTTTATGGAGGTGAACAAATGCAATACAGCCAAAAACATGAGGCGGTAAGTTCGGGACCATTGGAGTATTCACTGCTTTACCAAGAGCTTGAAAATGTGTCTCAAACCAAAGAGAACTAGAGGGTACCCGATTGATTAGGTAGGCTGCAGAAGTAAGTGCTTCTCCCCAAAAAGATAACAGCATGTGAGCCTCTATTAATGAGGCACGAACAACCTCTAATAAGTGCCGATTTTTTCGTTCAGCAACACCATTTTGTTGGGGTGTGTTGGGACAAGTAGTCTGATGAATGATACCATGTGTTGCTAAGTACTGTTGAAGATATGAACTTTGATATCCTCCTCCATTGTCACTTCGAAGGATCTGAACCTGTGCATTATACTGTGTACGAACCATTTTGTGAAATCTCTGAAAGAGTAAATTAACCTCCCCTTTAGATTTCATTAGACATACCCAAGTCATTCTCGTACAGTCATCAATAAAAGTAACAAACCAACGAGATCCACCTAAAGCAGTAACTGGTGATGGCCCACAGACATCTGAATGTATAAGCATAAAAGGACTTGGACTTTTAGTGATTGCTGTTGGAAATAGGACTCGATGGCTTTTTGATAGTTCACAAACATCACAACAGAAGTTACTGATATCATTTTTTTCAAACAAATTTGGAAAAAGTTTCTTCAGATAGCCAAACGAAGCATGTCCAAGGTGCCGATGCCATGACCAAATGTCGGATTTTTGTTTATCCCTTTTAGAGTAATCTACAATCAAAGCCTGTTGTAACACGGTAGAACTTTGTGACTCTAAATCCAAGTAATACAATTGCCCCAGTCTAATACCACAACAAATCGTTTGCTTTGTTTGAATACTTTTAAACTCACAAAATTCAGGCCAAAAAATCACCACACAAGATAAGCTTTTGGTTGTTTTGGAGACTGACAACATATTATAATTTAGGGATGGGACAACTAAGACAGAATCTAAGTATAAAGAGTTTTTTAGGGTTAACGAACCTTCCCCAATGACCCGGTTAGATTCACCATTGGCAGTAGAAACAAAGTTTTGTGAGGATGACTTAAGGTTAGACACATGCCTAGAATCAAATGTCATATGATCAGTAGCACCAGAATCAATTATCCATGCACTATTAGAAACAAATGTATACATATTTAAAGACTTACCATCATTTCCAACAGTAGCTACAAATGATGAAGATTGTTGGATATCTGCTTTCTTTTCCACAACAACATCAATATCAGTAGAACTTTTCATTTTGTCGTTATTGAGCATGCCAGGTTTAGTCGTCTCTGAGTAACTTGCTTCCAAATTTGGAACTGGGTTTCGTAGAATTTCTCCACACATCCTCTGCTGTTTATTTTATTTTATTTTTTTACTTTGTTGACCTTGACCCCCTTTTTGAACTATTGACCCTTTTTTGACTATTTGACCTTTTTTTTTTAATATTACTTAAAAAATATATAAATAAGGAAAAAAAAAAAAAGGAAATAAAAGCAACACCTAATGGGTAAGAAAATCCATCCAAACATGGAAGTTTTCTCCCATTTAAACTAGGAAATAAATAAAAAACAAATAAGCAAACAAAAAAGTTTAAAAAAACAAACTCTCAACACAGACATGTCACGGTGGTGCAGCAAGAGCTAATTAGAGTCGCCAGAAATAGATCGAGGTTGACGTCAACAGGTCAGCGACGGTAGCAGCAGTCGAAGATGGTGGCGACAGTGGCTTGAGACAGCAGCAAATCACGACAAGATGGCGGCAGATTGTTGAAGATGGTTGGATTTGAATTTTTTTTTTTCGTTTTCTGTGTAGTTTGGTTGTTAGTGGCTGCCAAAGTTGGTGGTTAGGAAGTTGGTATGATTAGATTTTGGTTGGAAGAAAAAAAAAAATTTTGGGTAAATTTTTTTTTTTTTGGTTGATTTGGAACTGGATTTTATGGCTGGTGGTGTTTTTCTGGTTTCAAGTTGCAGCAAGATCTGATGGTAGTAGGGTAGTAGTGGTGTTTGGGCTGGATTTTGGTTGATTTGCGGCTGGATTTTATGGCTGGTGGTGTTTTATTGGTTTTATGTTGTAGCAAGGTCTGATGGCAGTGGGGTAGTGGTGGTGTTTGGGCTGGAGATTTGTGTAGAGATGGTGGCTGATATGGCAGGAGATTGAATATTGGGAGATGATGATTAAGGTTTGTGAACTATCAAAAAGCCATCTAGTCCCATTTCCAACAGCAATCACTAAAAGTCCAAGTCCTTTTATGCTTATACATTCAGATGTCTGAGGGCCATCACCAATTACTACTTTAGGTGGATCTCATTGGTTTGTTACTTTTATTGATGACTGTACGAGAACGACTTGGGTATGTCTAATGAAATCTCTGAATCTT